CGTCGTCGTCGTCGTCGTCGTCGTCCGTTGATGTGTCGTCGTCGTCGTCCGTCGTCCTCGTCCGTTGACGTGTCGTCCTCGTCGTCGCTGACGTGTCGTGCGTGGTCGTCGTGTGTTGACGTGACGCGTCGTCGTCGTCCGTCGTCGTCGTGCGTTGACGTGTCGTCGGCCTCGTCGTGCGTTGACGTGTCGTCGTCCGTCGTCGTGTGGCCGGCCTCGTCGTCGCTGACGTGTCGTCGTCGTCGTCGTCGTTGTCCGCTGGCGTGGGCGTGATTCGAGGTGACCGCGCTGGTCGCGGCGACGGTGGTGGTGGTTGTGGTTATGGTTGTGGTTGTGGTTGACAGCAAAACAGAGATGCTGATGGTGACGTCGGCAAACGCCGTGACTCGTTTAGGAAGGTGGGCGTGAGGGTGGGTTATATAGAATAAATGTTTGTAGAATTTGAACGGCCGTATGGTGTAGTGGAAATATTGCTGCTTGGACTTCACGTGACACTTCCTGAGCCTAGAGTTCAATCCTTATGCATCCACTTATTTTTTTATATATTATAATAACAACAACAAATATTGAAATTCATTGGAATCTCTCGGAATCTGTTGGAATTTGACTGGAACATACTTTCCATTGGAATTCCATGGAATCTGGTTGGAATTCCAATGGATTCCAATGGAAACTGTTCCGGGAGGCTCCCGGATTCCGACCATTTCCACCAGATTCCGTCGGATTCCATTGGAATTTCTGTGGAATTGGAAACCAGAATGGCTGAGGCTCCAGCCAACTAGTTTCCGTCGGAATTCCATGGAATTCCGACATTCCACTTGGAATCCGCCGGAATCCGCCGGAACTCATGGGGGATGGCAAAGACCTCAATTTGTCTGGCAACTAATAAATAATGAATTACAAATCCGACCCAAACTTGCTCGGCCTCAGCACCAATATGTTCAAGGAGACGGGGGGCTTGACAAACCCGATCCCGGGCTTTCTCCACCTGGGTTTCTATGTGCTGAAAACCAGTTCTTGTGATACCTCATTAGGTCAATAAGAGCAGACTGCTGTACAATTTCCTCCCAAACCGAAATCTCATTGGTGACCCACTCTTCCTCAGCCTCAGCACACTTGATATGTTCAAGGAGACGATCCCGAGCATTCTCCAACTGGGTCTTGATGTGCTGAACTTCGGCCGGTGTCAGCGTGGAGGTGTCAGTGTCTGGGTACTTGATTGGCAAACCACCCTTTGCCATCCATCTGAACCAATTGTATGACCTTGTCAGAAGTTGGTCGACGCCCCCTGGTGGAAAGGTGATGCGAGTATTCCACCACGCAAACTCGTATGCAGGCCGGATACGGTCATCCATGAAGGCTTCCTGAGGGTGCAGTGGGTTACCCTGGAGACAGGACTTCAAAAAGGGAGGGACGATAAACTGGCAGGAAGGTGAGCTCAAAGAGAAAAAATCTGGGGCAAAGTTTTACTTTATGCCCATAGGCGCATGCCATGCCGAGAGTCGCTATAATGAAACCCTAACCAAAGGAATGAGTTTAGCCGGGCGCGGCAAAATAAAGCTCACCTGTTCGGCCGACATGTACTCCAACCAACAATTCTCGAACTTGGGGTCAATGGGGTTTTCGAGCTTTGATGTCAAAATGGCTCTGAATCGAGAGGACCAGTAGCAGAGTACCTTCTGGAACTCTTGCTCGTCCTTCCAGAGGAGATTAGCCACTACAGAAGAATCTCTGGTAAAAGCTGGAGGCCGTATCTTCAGCACCTCATCAACCCATTGCTCTGCTCGGCGGGGTTCAAATGACAGGTGTTCTTTTGCATACATGGTGGACAATGAGAAAGAATAGTTTGATTCAACTAGGATTAGGTAATGCAATGGCCTCGCACATGACCCCGGCATTTATAAATTCTTTGGTGGCCTGGAAGGCCAGTTCTTTCCACATACTGATTTGCCCCTCGGCAAAGCATACATGTCCCGGCTTGTCTGGCACCAAATCCCTCAGCCCAGCCCACTCCCTTGCTTTGTTGATGAAATAGAGGTGGGTCCAGTTCATTTCGTTTGGGATCAAGGTATGCTCTTCTGACCACCGGTCATATCGAGCTTTTGCTCTGAGCCAATTCACCTGATATACTTTGATTTGTCTGGTTTCAATTCATGTAGAGTAATAAAAGTGACTGGATCTGACCTTGTTCCATGTATGTTGAACCTGACGAATCATCAGCCACAGCCATATTCCAGAACCATGGCAGAGCAATATTTCTTTGACCCTGGGCATTGCCATCGTATACTGTAGTTAGTGCCCTTGTATCTTTTTTCCCTGTCGGCTTGTATCGGTCACGAGTGCCCTGAGGAGCATTGAGCTGATTAAGAGCCCATCGAGCTTGGTTGTATGCCTGGAGAGCACTTTTCATATCGCGATCTGATCCTTGTACAGCATCGTAAGCCCGAGTTACACGTTTTTTCGATTTCTCAGCTCGAATTCTCTTCCGATAAAGGAATGACTTGTAACTGATGGCTTCCTGTAAACGCTTCAGAGCGTTATTTGCCTGGGCCACTCTCAATTCTATCTCTACGCACCGGGCTTCTCCCAGTGATGTAGGGAGGAGGGCTGCTTGAAATGAGGATGGTAAGAGGATTTGTTGATGTTCGGCCAATCCATATCCCTGATCAGGCAAACTGGGTATGCTCGGTGCTGGGGTTTCCTCTTCATCACAATCGCTCCAGTCATCGTCATCCACAATATTCTCTGAGAGTGGTGGATCATGAATAGTTCCTTCATTAATTTCCAAGTTGGGAAAATGGCCTTGACTGGCCTCGGAAAACTCTTCAAGTCGCTTGGACAGCTTCTCTCGACGTTTCATTATCTCCAGCTTCTGATCGGCACTTGGACGACTGCCTTGAGCCTTCACAAAGGCGGCCAATTCGGCTCTGGATTGTTCAATGTTTGAATCTAGCAATATTTGACTTTACTCACTGGGCTTCCTGAATTTTGATACCGGTGTTTACCCATCCAGTTAACCCCGGCTTGACCTTGCCTGCCTGTTCTTTAGTCATAAGTTTTAGCCGAATGCCCTTTTCGGTCTCGGCTGATTGAATGATTTTACAGCTGGCCTTTGTGATGGAAAACTTGGTCCTTACCTTCCTTGACCTTGACGTAATAGATGTCCATGGCGGAAAGGTCCTTTGCCTGGTTCAAATTTGCCGTTTTGATCTGTTGCTCCCATTCTTGAATCTGTTCCTTACTTGCTGAGGCACTTAATTCTTCAAGAGCCTGGAAGCTCTCGGAGAGCCCGAGTTTTGCTCGCTTCCACTTCTTGCAAAGGCTACTCACTTGACATTTATTAGCTTAGAAGCAATGTAAAAGCAGTTGAAAATAGATACCCATATTGATCATTTTTTTCCAGTTATTATCCAGCATGTGAGCATCCAACACCTCCGATCTATGGGCCAAAGTCATTGTCTGGGTGGTGCGACCGACCTCGTTGAGAACAGCCCACAAAGTCTCCAATATCTCTCCATCTGTTTGACCGGCCCTGGGGATGAATGTTGGGGCAAATCATGGAAAGCATATTTCTTGATGGCCATGGACATGGAATAAGCTGATCCCGGCTACCAATAACAAGTCTGGTCTGATCCAGAGGTGTTTCGCACCACGTTTTATCCAAGCCATCAAATTCACCATATACTGGCAGTTGATGTCATAGACAAAAATAACCCTTTTTTCTTCACCGGTCATGGTATTCTTCAGAGCCTGGCACAAGGCATAGTCCATGTTCATTTGCCTGTTCGGTAAAACAACGATTCAACCTGAGGATAACTTGCATACCTTTCTCCCTTTTGAAAATCTACCACTGAACCCGGACAAAAGGTGCCATGTCGAAGGCAAGCAATGGCTCCAATTCCAGTAGCATCAAAACCTCGGTGAAATACATTCTTGTTGTTGATAGCATTGTGCTCATGACATGTCCTCGGCTGAAAGATTCAGACACCGGCCAAGTCACTCGAAGGATAAAAACTTACATCATTATCTTCAATCATGTCCTGAAGGTGGCTCAAATAAGGTCCTCTTTGCATCATGAAACTATCCCCATTTTTAAGCCAAACATCATCTTTGGGCCGTGCCTGTTTTTGGTGGGCTGCTGTGAAATTGCCATCGGCTACAAATCCTCTGGTATACTTCCAGTTAGTAGGATCATTGGGGTTTTTGTTCCAGTCATCAGGAAGGTTGACTCCCGGTTGTGGGCAGGTAGGGCAAAAAAAACCCATCTCCCCCAGCATCGGAGCCTTACCTTTGTGTCCAAATCCAAAAGTAGCCAGTTCGGTAAGATTACAGTATTGTCTACCAACCCTTATTAACTTGTGATACCGGTTCTGTCAAACGTTTTGAGATGGGAGTATACCTTGGTACTTGAACAACATACCGGAATGGAATTAGGAAATGCAAAGTTGGTGATCCTTCTCAATTTGGAGTAGTAGTGGGTGGCTGATGTTTTACATTCCAGGTTTTCCAGCAGGTAGTCATCGAGGAGTTGGAAGGTAAATACGGTCTGGCAAGACTTGTAGGTGGATGGGTACAACCCAACCCGGAACAACTGTATGTCCTCGGCTGCTGCACCAGAACATCCACAGAAGACGATAGGTAGGTGATGCACACCGGAAGTATGGACGACGGTCATGACCCGGCCACCATTGTAAATACGGTCCGTTGGTTTTGGATCAGCCGAAGTGCTGGTAAGGTCTTCCATGTCAAACCATTCCTCTTCGTCAATGTCAAGCTCGGCACTCAAGTTGCTGCTTCCATTCGGGCACCGATCACCTTCGTGACCAAGTCGAATAACCAAACCCACTTTCCACAGCCAGCTCGGCTCATAAAAGGTGCCGGTCCAACGTTCAATCCAGTGGAAAGGGTCCCTGCAGTGGGATGTTCGGCAACATTCTGCACAATATGCTGTGCCGGCAAAGCAATCGAGACATCGCCAATTTGCCTCCTTCTTGCAAAAGATACAAACCTGCTTTGACGCTTTCCTATCCAAAAATTCATGGAGGTATAGATTACGCTTAGTCTCTTTCCAAACCCTCATGTAATCATTGGATGACTGATAGTGTATTAGCGTTCAGTATATGAATATATTGGAAGAGGAATTTCACATTTCTGTAAGGTTGATGATCCTCAAGAGGAGGAGCATATTCAACGTATGGCAAATCTTGGTGTTCCCTTTCAATGTCTCTTTCCAGATGGCTGCAGTTACGTTTTTTCACGGGGGAAAATGGCAGAGAGGGAATAGTGGAGGAGGGAAAAGACCTCCTTCCATTTTTTATAACAAGCCTGTTGAAGTGAGGATTAGCGATGTTGCTGTGTGCTTTTCTTCCCATGTTTGTCGACTGTTGAAATGGCCAAAGGATATAATGATGATGTGTAGTGGGAATGAGGAAAATGTGGGCGTAGTGGGAAAGAGGAAAATGTGGCCGTCGAATAGCAAATGCAAACATTCATAACAGATTTGCAAATGCAAACATTCATAACAGATTTGCATTTCCAGCTACGTAAAAATTCCTGGAGTTTGTCAAATGTTTTCCAACTTACAACAGACCAACTCTACAATTTATGCAAGAAGGGAGGCCAATGTGAAGAGACTCACTCTGGAGCCAATGTGAGGAGACTCGCTCCGTATTTGATCCAACCAGTCAGGCTGTTGTATCCTTAAAAAGTTGGCAGTAAGACTGGGATGAGCACACACCCAAGCCATAAAAGCCGGCCAGCAGGACTGGATAATAGTCAATTAGAAACACAATCTCATATTTCATACACTTCGCATACTCTTTAACGGCGGCTTCTTGTGAACTTTTAATTTTTATCACCTTCAATATGACTGCAAAATATCAAGATCTGTATGTCGCTGGCAGCCTCATCATACATTGGTATAAAGGTAGCTTCAATATATACCACCATAACTGTGTTACCAGTTTAGTTACTTAGATGGACCGACGATAATTACAGACAGACATAATTACAGAGGAAGCTAATTAAGGTTTTGTCCTGTGATGCGATCATAACTGTTCTGCTATTTAAGCTATTTAAGGTTATTAAGGTCTGTTCTTTTCCGTTTCGTGTTCGATCTTCCGTGCCGATCAGTTATGTATATTTTTGATAGATGATATATAAAGTAATTCCCTTTCCCGAATCAGGGGTGATTGTTTGTTCATTGTATTTGGCATGAGTTGTTCTCCCTCTCTGCTCCCGACTACCATTTTCCATCTACCTCTTTGCTCCCAAATACCATTAATTATATCATTATGAGTACTCATTCTCAATCCCCTGAACCATCTGCCCCACTTTCCAGTCAAACCAAGCACCATGGGTCCGGGAGGCATTGGACCGACGAAGAAAGTGCTCTGTTGGAAAAACATCGGGAGGAGTACAGAGACGCCAACGACGCTGCTCGTGCTGAGATATTTTCTCGAGTTTTGCAAGACATGCTCGACATACTCCCCAATGGAAAATCGTTCAAGAAGGAAGAAAGATCAGCTGTTAAAAAAGTAAGTACTTTTTCCAGAGGCCCTCTAATTGATTCCTGACGGACTTGTAGGATATTAAAGAGTGGTTTGCCCGGTACAGTCATAAGAGAAGTCAGAAAATGCCGAGGATGGGAAAGTCGTGGCACGCCCGGCGTGTGTTCCAGCATGAGAACAAGGAGGCCATCGATACCAAAGCGAAAAGGCTTTGTGCCGAAGCCATTGAAGAAGGACAAAAGAGGCCTAAAGGGGGAGATCCCACTCATTTTGATTTTCGGGAGCGGGTCGTGACTCAAATGATGGGAAAACTGAAGAAAAGGGAGAAAGACGTACTGCAGAGTAGGGACTGTCATGGATATACCCAGGTATTAACTGTACCCGATCCACGGATTTTCCCACCCACGGATCAGATAAGGCACAGTACGGATATATGCATGGGTAAACAGCCTGGGTGACCAAGCAGGTATATAAATGAGTGTATCTCGTTCATTTCCTGTCCGTTCTTTATGAAAAAAATTGTGTTAGAAAGCGAAAATTCAGAAGAATTCATATTAAAACAAAAGTCATTCATATATTATCTAAATTGAGTATATTGAAACTAAAGTTATTTATATATCATCATCTGAGGTCTTTCTCCTTGTATAATGCTGCTGTAACTGAGCCTTGATCACAGAGAGTGTTGGGGGTGTGTATTAGCATGCCTTGGCCATCTTGAGAGTATTTATTTTCAGTTTCAGAGAAATGCTTTTGAGAACAATTGATATTTAGGTTTGGTAGCAACAGAAACAATGAAGGAAATGGGAGGTTATATGATGTACAGGCACAATGCATCACATTCCTGACTGCAACTTTCATGAATGGGTTCTGATTTCTGCTCAGCCCCAGGTAAGCAGCATTATTCACATTTATTTTCCTTTACTTTCAATGATTGATGCAGCTACTTCTGTGGATGCAGAGTGGGCATTCTCCACTGGTCACAATCAGATCAATTTCACCCAGCACAATATCAACTTTCAAACATTCAGAGAAGAAATGGCTCTTAGATTCTGGATTAAATTCCCCTTCTACCCAGCTTCAATAAAGTTACACAAATGATTGAAAAAAGATGGACAATGATTTCTTTTCCTCTTAAATAGGTTTTTGTAACACATTGTGTCACCAAAATTGTTCTTTCAATACCTCTGGGTTCATCAAGGTAAATTTGAATGTTCTCCTGTTTTTTTATTGGGGCATATTGTGATTGCTTTCACTAAAAATTGAATTCATTAACAGGATTTCAAAGATTTCTGGTGACAAGCTTGGGTGACAGCTGGGAACAAAACCCAGGTCACAATTTGGACCCCTTCCACAAGCAGCAGGGGCCAGGAAGTTGTTGTGATAGCATTCTGTCATGGTGGAAGGGAGTTGGGGGTACAAATAACACTCTTATCTATTCTGGGCACGTATGCTCAAAGTATTTCACGAAGGTCTAAAAATATCTAATTTACCCACAGATACCTGCGGATAGTCCGGGTACTTACCCGAATCCATCAGTTGAGTCCAAATATGGGTGGATTTCGGGTTCACCCGGGCTTTAGCTATCCGTGACAGTCCCTACTGCAGAGGACGGCCGAGGAGTACAACAAGAAGGGAGTTGACCTGGAACTCAAGTCCAAGTAAGTTAATTTTCATTATTCTAATGTTGGCTTATCTGGACCTTTGGTAGACTGGCTGTAAAGAACTGCACGGCTTGGATGCATGCATTTTCCAAGGAACTTTATGACACAATGGGTGTCTGGGTCTTTATCTTAGGATGTTATCTGAAGCCCGATGGTAATTTGGACGTCTCGACGTACGACTTCAATCAAGAACTCGGCAATGGGAAAGACTTTATTGATAACCATAGCCGGACTTTCCATGAGGAAGGAATATTGGTATCTTCTTGGAGAGCACACAATGAAGAATACTATGGGTTGGAGGATCTTGCTTCGGCCGAAGGAGGACACCGATCCCGGGGTGCTATGACTTTGGAGAAGAACCTATACCTGGAACCTATTCTACCCGATCCATCGAAACCACCACTTAAAACTTCCTGTGATATTCGAATTTGGTGGCTGAATGTTCTTCGTACATTTGTCAACCAGCACTATAGTAAGCCGGTCCCCAGAGATTTCTTGCCCTGTATCACTAAACATTTGTCTAAGATCTTGCAGCTGGGCAGAGTAAGGGATCGGCTCCTTGGACGGCTATTGGATCAAAGTTACTTGACTTCATTGATCTAGAATATATACCCACGACTTGGAGATCAGTAAATGGAGAAGGTAACAACTTTTACAAGTTTCTTGATCCCTCCAAATTCCCGATGGAGATGGTCACTGAAGCTCTCCAGTTTTGGTATGAACGTCAAGAACAACACAAAGTCGCCTTTCGATTTAAATCCTTTCTTGAGGGGAAAATGCTGCTGGAAGCACCTCCACGAAGGAAAATCAAAGTTCACGTTCCTAAACCTCATGTTCATAGTGTTGGGAAGGGCAAGAAGCCTGGCAGAAGCAAGGGTCAAAGGAGAGGCCGGGCAGCAACCGAGTCACCGTCAGATGAGGAAGCCAGGCCAAAGAGAAAGGAAGGGGTGGAAGATCGGCAGTTTGATGACAACAGTTGGAAGGATTTGGATGTGGACAAGCCGGCCAAGAAACGAACCGAACAGTTTTCTAAGGATGACTGGACTCCTGATCGGGATGGCTCCGATGACGATGGAGAAGACTTGGACATGGAGAAACCAACCAAGAAACCAACCAAACAGCATGACGAACATCGTGAGGATGGCTCTGATGATAGTGACTCAGACTCCGATAATGGTCAAGAGAAGCCAAAGCAGGATACTCTGACTGAGCCCACAGTAAAACCTAGCAGGGTCAACCCGACCTTGGAAGAGGATAGAGACTCGGGATCAGATTTGGGCTCAGACGATGCTATGATCACTGTAGATACCAGCCCCGAGCTTCAGCCTCGGTACAACAACACCCGGGCTCTCTCCCATGAAGTACCATCGGACACTGAGGTCTTGGCTGATGATACATTTTGGGAAGCCGACCTGGGCTGTGGGGTGGAGTCGGCCGATCGAGCGAAGAAGAGAAAATTCACTGATGAGGAGGATACACCCTGCAAGTTTCCTCGGTTAGAGAAGGGTTACAAACTTGGCCTGAGGAGTGCCTGACCAGGCAAAGTCAAATGCTGAGCTGCATTGGCTGTTATCCAAGCCACTGTCAAACCAGCTCAAGCAACCAATCCGAGGTCGACACAACCAAAG